GGGAGGGCCATGCTTTGAAATTGAGTATAAGGGCCAATCCCCCAGAGGTTGAGAGGGACCTCACTACCATAAAGAAGAGCCTGGAGCAGAGCAATACCCATTCATGGGGGAAAAAAATTCTCAGCAACGAGGATTGCAAGGGAATTTCTTTAACCCAGTGAAGAGCGTGTACAAAAAAATCTCCTGCTAACATCATATTTAATGGTGAAAGATTGACTTCTTTGCCCTGAAATTATGAACATCACTGGGATGTGCACTCTCACCATTCCTATTCAACACAGTGAAAGTCCTAGGCAGTGAAGTATGGCAAGAAAATAAAAGAAAAACAAAACATTGGAAAACAAAACATGATTCAGAGATAATACTAGGTACCTATATAATCCCAAGAGCTTTGGTGGCATAGTGGTTAGGAGCTATGGCTGCTAACCGAAATGTCGGCAGTTCGAATCCAGCAGCCGCTCCTTGGAAACCCTATAGGGCAGTTCTACTCTGTCCTATAGGGTTGCTATGAGTCAGAATTGACTCTCTGGCAACAGGTTTTTATATAATCCCAAGTAGTCTATAAAAGAACTCCTAGACTAATAAATGAGTTTATCAAAGTCACAGGGTACAGGGTTAAAACAAAAATCAATAGTATTTCTGTAGACTAACAGTGAACAAGTGGAAACTAATAACAGTCATCCCTTGGTATCCGTGGGGGATTGGTTCCAGGGCACCCCCCCCACACCAAAATCTGAGTAGACTCAAGTCCCTTATATAATATGGTGTAGTATTTGCATACAACCTATGCACATCCTCCCCTATGCTTTAAATCATCTCTAGATTACTTATAATACCTAACACAATGTAAATGCTATGTGAATAGTTGTTAACGCTTACACTTAACACTTAATGCTTTCTCAGTCTTTGCAATTACTTTATCGGGAACCAGAGAGACCATTTTTGCCATCGTAGGGGCAGCACTAACACTTCCAAGAATTTCAGCTTCTTAATGCTTTATTGTGTGAATGCTCAATTCGTTCTTACCGACCTTATGACCCCACTTCAGCAAGCGACATGCTGCTTTTCAAAAGATTTAAGATTTTTCTTTTCTCATCGAGAGATAGCATTTTATGCCCCCTCTTAGCCTTTGAGGGATTACTTTGACCGCTTAATTGCTTTTTGGGAGCCATTTTTCACAGAAACAACGGGTGCACCCAAGTAGCAAACGAACGAGAACAATCTCAAACAACGAGTGCTGAAGAGAGACTGAGCATCTGTGAAACGGCAGGAGGCTACATCAGGGTATGCCTACACATCATTTCGTTCACGTGCATTCAGCATAGTACTCGGGGCACAGAAAATTCAAGTTTTGCTTTTTGGAACTTTCCTTTCTTTTCAAATATTTTCCATCTACGGTTTCTTGAACCCCCAGATGCGGAACCCGCAGATACTGAGGGCAGACTGTAATGAACAGGTAACATTTAGCATAGCTCCAAATATATGATATACTTAAGTATGTTGTATTGTGTGCCACTAAGTCGATTTGAAATCCTAGCAACCCCACATGACACAACAGAACTGCCCAATAAAGTTTTCTTGGCTGTAATCTTCCCAGAAGCAGATTGCCAAGTCTTTTTCCCACGGTGCCAATGGGTGTGTTAGAAACACCAACTGTTCGATTAGCAGTCAAGTGATTAACAAGACAGGATGTATATTGTATAAACTAAAACAAGCAACCTGATAAAAGAAATCAAGGAAAACCAAACTAAATGGAAAGATAGAATCATATTTGTAGGTTGGAAGACTCAACATAGTAAATATGTCAAATCTCCCCAAATTGAGTTACAGATTTAATGCACTTCCAATAAACTTGAAACAGTTCTGGTAGGTGCACTTAGCAAGGGACCCAGTGGGCAAGTCCCACCTTCATTGCTAAGGATCAGCATGACTCCAATTCCCATCTGGAAATGGATCCAGTCCTCACCTTCCTGTTTCTCCACCTGTGTCACTAGCCACCCAAGCGACACACTCTCTCATGCCCAGCCACCCTGGGCTAGAGTACCAGTTGCAAGCTCAGGGGTCCTCAGCCCCCTTAACTTCTGACCTACCAGCCCTTTCTCTCCAGACTGGCTGCCTGTGCAGCCCTTCTGATTTAGCCACCCCAAGTTGTCAGGGCACACAAGTTAAAAGGGCACAGTCCTTCAAACTGCCAGATAGGCAGACACCAGCCTCTGCTGGCTCTCACTGCCACTGTTCATTCATTAATTCCCTAGAATGGCTCAGCTGCTAACAGAAAGTGGCTAATAGCCACTGTGTGAGAAAGACATGGCAGTCTGCTTCTGTAACAATGTACAGCCCTGGAAACCCTATAGAGCAATTCTACTCTGTCCTATAGAGTCGTTATGAGTCCGACCTGGCTCAATGGCAGTAGACTTTTTTTTTTTTAAATGTATACTTACAGTTACCTATTTATTATAACCAGAAAGGATACAAATGAAGAGATGCACAGGAGGAGTCCTGGGAGGGGTTCCAGCACCGAACTTCCATTGTCTCTCCAGGGACCTACGACCCTCCTTAGAGTAGATGTTCTCACCAATCAAGAAGCCAAATAACTTCCATTTTGAAAGACTTGTATTGGCTTCATTATATAGTCATGATTGGGGCTTCACTGCATATTCATGATTGATTGGATCATTGAATGTGTGATTAAATCATGCCCCCTTCTTCCTGAGGTTAGCTAATAACAATGTGTAGCCACTATACATTTGCACAAAATTTCAAGTGTTGCCTGGCAGTTGCAAATAACAAAGACACCTTGATCACTCGGGAAATTTCATGAGTTAACTTTCAGGAACCAAAGATGAAGGCCAAACTGAGTTCTTTGTCCCAGATTCAGTATAGGCAGGCTTATTCTAAAATTTATATGGAAAAGCAAAGGAAGTAAGATAGATAAAACAATTCTGAAAAAGAAAAATAAAGCTGGAGAAATCTTAATACTCAATTTTTCAACTGTCTACAATAATCATGATAGTATGGTATTAGCAGAGACATACAGATCAACAAAACAATAATCAAGAAATGGACCCACATATGCACAGGCAAGTGATTTTTTCTTACAAATATACAAAAACAATTTAATGGAAAAAAGATGTTGCTTTCAACAAATAGTTTAAGAACAATGGGAAAACCAAAGGCAAAGAAAATGAATTTTAAACCTCATCCCATATATAAAAACTAACACAAAATGGATCATAGTTCTAAATATCAAAAGCAAAACTAATACATAGCATCAGTACATTTTGAACTGAATAGTTATCCTAGAGGAATGAAAACTCATATTTACACACTACACTTATACAAGAATGTTTATAGCATCATTATTTGTAACAGTAAAAAGCAAAAACAAAAAACCCAGAAACAACTCTGCAGTGCAACTGTTTCTCTTTATATATAGCCTTTCTGGCCTTAGGTTTATAATTCTACCAAAATAATTGGCTGGGTCACAGTCTTGCAAAGGGATTGGTTAGTCTACTATGCAAACGTGTAAAAACCCTTGCAGGAATTGGTCAATTACTATGCAAATAAGGTGCCTGTGGCCTACTGAGGAGATTGGGTCAGTTTTACCATCATGCTAGGCTTAAAAGAGGCAATTCCACAGAGGTTGAGGGGGACCTCACTACCATCAAGAAGAGCCGGGAGTGGAGTACATCCTTTGGACCCATGGTCTCTGCCCTGAGACCATCCTAAAGAGAGAGAGAACTGTAACTCTGGAGGTGAGCAAGATGGCGCAGTAGCAGCACGAGCAAACCATAAGACTGGTGCGAGACAGCTGCAGTGGGATTGCCGACCCACGGAGGTAGAGAGCTGAGCGCCTTCGGGCAGGATGCTTGCTGGCTGAGTGGGGTGCCTTGGGGCACTTGTTGGCAGAGCTAAAGAGCTGTAACACTTGCCTGAGAATGGCATAGGCCAAGACCAAGTGGGACCCAGGGGGCACAGCTGGGAACAAGGCCTGTCTGCAGGCACGAGGCCTGCCTGTGAGGACAGCCACAAAGAAACTGTGATCTGTCTTGGTTGAAAGCTGTCCTGGTTGAAGAACTGTATCCAGAGTTGTGTCCAGTTATTTCCAAGTTGATCCTGATCCTGAATTGTAGCCTGTTACTTCCCTAATAAACCACATAATTGTGAGTATGGTCTGTGAGTTCTGTGTGGACACTGCAACGAATTATAGAACCCAACAGACCAGTGTATTGTGGGGAGGACAGCTGGTGTCAGAACTGCTAAAAAGGTTGGAGTGCAGGTATGTCTGACCTCCATCTCATAGGAATCAGCATTGGACGTATCCTGATCTTGACTTTCTCTTCCCTCCTTGTGAAGTTAGAGTACCTCTGACGCTACTATGACTTTATTACAAACTCTAATGTCCTTCAATGGTTGAATGGATAAATGGTGGTACATCCATACCATATATGAATACTCAACAATAAAACTGAAACACACAGAACAACTTGGATGGATACTAAAGTTGACTTTGCTTAAGGTCAAATAGCCAATTTCAAAAGGGTATATGCTTTGATTCCATTTTTATAAAATTCTACAAATGATAAATTAGTATAGATAAACAGATCAAGTGTTGCCAAAAGTTACGGTCAAAGAGAGGGTGCGACTGTAAAGGGGTAACATGAGCGAATTTGTGTTAATGTGACAGTTCTGGCTATCAATTGTTCTAAAAATGGTGTGGCAGCAGCATCCGACCTCCTCTAATTTAATTCTGACACCAACCATCCCTCCCACGGCACTACTTCTCTGCTGGGTTTGATAATTCCTTGCAATGGTCACACAGAACTCAGACAATACTCACAATTATGGGGTTTATTAAGAAAGTAATGGAGCCCTGATGGTGCAGTGGTTAAGAGATCGGCTGCCAGCCAAAAGGTCAGCAGTTCAAATCCACCAGCCGCTCCTTGGAAACCCTATGGCTCAGTTCTGCTCTATCCTATAGGGTCGCAAGAGTCAGAATTGATTCAACGGCAACAGGTTTGGGTTTTTTTGGTTAGGGAAGTAACAGGTTACAATTCAGGTTCAGGAATGCTTAGGATACAGTTCTTTGATCAGGAAAGCCTCTTCTCAGTCTTGCCAACAGGCACACCTCTCTCTAGCCCCTAGACCTCTGCCATGCTCAGGCAAATGTTACAAAGCTCTTTTAGCTCTGCTGCTAAGTGCCCAGCGGCACTCCACTCTGCTGGTAAGCCTCGGCCTGAAGGTGCTCAGCTCCCTTGCTCTGTGGGTCAGTGAGCCTAGCTCTACCACCAAGTGCACGGTGGCACCACACTCCACTAGGAAGCCTCCTGCCCAAAGGCACTCAATTCTCTACTCTGTGGGTCGGCAAACCTACCATAACCATTATGCTCCGTGGGCCAGGAAGCCCACCACGCCATCTCCTGCTGGTCTCCTGGTTTGGCTGCCTCTGATGCTGCCGTTTCGCTGATGCTGCTTCTCGCTGTCTCTGGTGTTATAGATCTGTCTCCTGGGTCTAGGAGGTCTCAGTGAAGAGATCCTGGGTCCAACGGACATGCTCAGCTCCTAGCTCTTCTTTCTTGGTGGTGGTAGGTGCCCTTCTGCTCTGGGATTGACTGCTCTTTTAAGCCTATCAAGATGGCAAAACTGACCAATTCCCTCTTTAGTATTCCATACATCTTATTTTTATGGCCCCACCCCACAATGGTGCTTTGCCCTTATTTACATTATTAGCATCCAATCCCATTGGTTGGCCACAGCACCTCATTTGTATAGTCCTCACCCAGTCATCTGGAGGGAGGTACAAACTATGGCCAGAAGGGATATATTAATTCACTGTAGCACAGATGTGCTTCTAATTACACATATACATGAGATAAAACTAACTATACATGAAAAAAACAAAAATGTATGCCTATTAAAACTGATGGTATCTTTGGAAGAAGCTGGGTGAAGGATACACGAAAATTCTCCAGATTATTTGTTTTTGTGACTTTAAACTTGTTTTAAAAATAAAAACATATAGAAAATCATATTTATGTTGGTTTCAGAAACTATGTGATGTTACTTATAAACTTGGTTAAACACATCCAAATATGATGAGTTACAATGAAGACAGAGACTATATTCCCACTGTGGTCTTTCCTAGACTGTCCATTCATATGATTTATCTCGGTATATACTTCTTAGACACAAAATGACCTATAAAATGGTTAAGAATGATTTTTATATTTCATTTGTACATCTTTCCTTTGACATATAATGTGAGGTAACTGATCACTAAAGACACTACCACATTGTCTGCATTCATTTATTCTTCCATACAAATACTAATATCCGTGACTCAAAACTGGGAACAGTCTTTCCACAATGATTAGGTGTGCATTCTTCTATGTTTAACAAGGATTGACAAGTGGGCAAAAGATTTCCCACAATCATTGCATTCATAGGGCCTCTCTCCTGTATGTTTCCGATGATGAACATTGAGTCCTGACTTTGTGGTGAAGGCTTTTCCACATACCCCGCATTCATATGGTTTCTCGCCTGTGTGAATTCTCTGATGGGTAATGAGATCATATTTGCGCAAAGAGAATTTCCCACATTCAGTACATGCAAAGAAAGTTTTTCCCGTGTGAAATCTCTGATGCTGTATGAGGCATGTCTTCTTCCTGAAGGCTTTACCACACTCGTTGCATTTGTAGGGTTCCTCTCCAGTATGAGTTCGCTCATGTATACCTAGAGTGCTCTTCATAGTGAAGCCCTTTCCACATTCATTGCACTTATAGGGTTTCTCTCCAGTATGAGTTCGCTGATGTGCGATGAGCATGCTTTTCCCAGTTAAGCCTTTCCCACATTCATTGCATATATACGGTTTCTCTCCAGTATGAGTGCGCCGATGTACATTGAGATGGCTCTTTTCAGTGAAGCCTTTTCCGCATTCATTGCATACATAGGGCTTCTCTCCAGTGTGAGTTCGCTGATGTCCAACCAGTCGGATCTTTGCTGGGAAGGCTTTTCCGCATTCATTGCACACATAAGGTTTCTCTCCTGTATGAGTTCGTTGATGTACAATCAGACGGCTCTTCACAGTGAAGCCTTTTCCACAATCACTGCATACATATGGTTTCTCTGCAGTATGAGTACGCTGATGTACGATGAGATCGCTCTTCATGGTGAAGCCTTTTCCACATTCACTGCATACGTAGGGTTTCTCTCCTGTATGTGTTCGCTGATGTCTGATAAGTGGACTTTTCAGGGGAAAGCCTTTTCCACATTCATTGCATATATAGGGTTTCTCTCCAGTATGAGTTCGCTGATGTACAATGAGACAGTGCTTCATGGAAAAGCCTTTTCCACATTCATTGCATGTATATGATTTCTCTTTGGTATGAGTTTGCTGATGTGTGATGAGACTGTTCTTCAAAGTGAAGCCTTTCCCACATTCACTGCATATAAAGGGTTTCTCTCCAGTATGAGTTCGATAATGTGCGATAAGACGTCTCTTCTCAAAGAAGCCTTTTCCACATTCACTGCATGTATACGGCTTCTCTCCTGTATGAGTTTTCTGATGAGTAGAGAGACTGAACTTTGTAGAAAAGGCTTTCCCACACAGATTACACCCATAAGGTTTCTCTCCTGTATGAGTTCGCTGATGATAAATAAGCCGACACTTCTTGCTGAAGGCTCTCCCACATTCATTGCATGCATAAGGTTTCTCTCCCACATGAGTTTTCTGATGTATATTGAGTTGTGATTTCTTCAGAAATGTTTTGTCACATTCGGTACATTCATAGTGTTTCAGTCCTGCATGAGTTCTCCGATGTTCAATAAGCCTGGACTTTCTGGAAAATGCTTTCCCACACATACTGCATCCATGAGGTTTCTCTCCTGTATGAACCTTCTGATGATCAATGAACTGAGACTTTTTGATGAAGACTTTCCCACATTCACTGCATACATGGGCTTTCTCTAATTTAGCAGTTCTCTGATGCTTAATCACCTGAGAGTTGTAGCTGTTCAGTTTTACACTTTCTTGGAATTTATTATCAGTATAAAGTTGTTCATGCTTATCATGGAGAAACGATTGTCCATATCCATTAAACTTATTAAGCATTATTAGGTCACCACTTGTGTTCTGGTTTTCTAAAGTTAAATATGATTTCAAAGTTTTTCTATGCAAGTCAAACATATGGTGTTGCTTTAATGGAAAATTACTTTTTCTCTGATTAAAAATATTTCCAAATGCATTATGTTCATAGCATTGTTCCGCACACTTCTGAATTCTTTGCTTTTGCAAGTGTCGTTGGAGATGATCATCAACTTTCCTGATTTCTAGGGAAGATGAAGACAATGAATGGTTTTATAATGTTTGGCATAAAGCTATTTTAAAAATACTTCGGTGTGTGAAGGGTCTTTAGTGACAACCCAATGATATCAGTATTTTAAAAAAACCCTCCATAAGTGTTCCTTATCTCTTGCACACTGGTAAAAACACAATAATGTAAACTTGAAAAAGGTTAAAAAAAAAGTCAGTGTGCAAACAAGGCTACATAATTTACAATCTCTAAAGATTTGGCTGCTTTCTAAATAGTATGTTACAAAACATACCAATAACAACAAAAAATAAAATAAATTATTAAAAAAAAAACTCGCAGCATTTTACATGGAGTTGATCAAGTTATAAGATAATATAAACAGGGATCAGATTTCCAAAGATAAAAAGGATTTTCCTGTGACAAGCAGGATTGGTGGAGGGGCTGTTTACATACCTAAGACACCATCAGAGCTGTGGCACTTTCTCTGAATGTCTAGAATGATTTCCTCAACCACCTATCTTGTGGATTCTTATTCACTCACCTGGACAGATTCGACAGTGAATTTCATCTTCTGTTGTCCACAGTTCTTCCCCTTGTTCCAACTTGGAGAGTGCATCTGGTTTGCCAGCTTGATACCATGTTCATGGAAAATAATAGCAAACTTACACATATCGAACTGGGCGGTGATATATCAAGAAGGAAAAATGTTATATTTAGGGACTACAGAGTTTTCACATCTGCAAAGTCAAGGCTTTTCTCTCAGAAGAAGGCATCTTATTCTCTTTTGTCTAGGGCAAGAGAAGGATCTGAGAATCTATCACTTAAAAGTACTACATGTCAAAAAACAATTTGTGTATCAATTGTTTAATGAGAAAGTAATTGCTCTATAAACTTTCACCTTAAGCACATACACACACACAGAGTACTACAGATGCTCTGAAGAGTTACTTAGTGACACAGGAGAGCTTTCTCACCCACAGACACCAGGTTGTTATAGTTCTCCAACATCACATGCCAGTACAGGTCCTTCTGATCAGGACCAAGGAGCTGCCACTCTGTCCAGGTGAATTCCACAGCCACATCATCGAATGTCAGTGATTCCTGTAATAATGGGGTTCTGTTTAATGAAGTAATTTTTTTTGATGATATGAAAGGAATGTAAAGGAAGTTATTTTGCTCTTTTCCCCATATAGGAAATTTTTTTTTTCTTAATCCATTGTGATAAATCAAAATCCTAGTAAAATATTCTTAAGTGTGTACTCATCCATTCATCCAAGAAAGTTAAAAATTCAAAGAATACATATATTATCTATTTGCCAATACTAAATAATCTGCTATTTACAAGTAAATCAATAATAAAATTCCTACAGTCACTATAATCCTTTAGAGCCAATATCAAAATCAGCAATGAAGAGACTCCAGATGCTAGAATCACAAGACAGTACATATTATATAAATGTGTTTAATATACTGAACAGAATAAAAATAAAAGAAACCATACAAAATTTGTATAAAACACAAGAGACTAAGAAAATTTGGAAAAAGTTATTCTTAGAACAATATATATATCCACACAGACATATGCATGTGTATATATTATTAAATAGGTTAATACCATATTTGATACAATTAGATACATATCAGACATAATTATTGAACTGAAATACGCACTTGAGGAAAAGTCCCAAAATGAAAGAGAATCAAAGGAATGGAAAGAAAATATAAAGGAGAGGTTAAAATATATGGAAAATATAATGAAAGGGTCTAACCTACGCATTTCATAGTTTCATACAGTAACAGGAAAGCAAAATCCACAGTTCTAAGAACTGAGAAATTTTCAGAACTAATTAAATAATCCATGTCTCAGACTTAATAATACCAGCAAACCTCAAGCAGGAAATCCACATCTCGACACATTAGAGCAAAGCTAGAAAATGTCACATGCAAAAGAGTTTATAAAAGTATCCAGAGAAAAAAAGATTATTTACAAAGGGAGAGACAAAATTTCTGAGCACTGGCTTTTCCACATAAACAACAGAAGCAACATAAGATTAAAATAAAATCTTCAAAGACCTGATCCTGAAGCAACACAGCCCATCCCTGAAAGTCATCTAGGATTGAAACGTACAATTTGCAGGGGACGTACAGCCCAACAACACTGACATTCAAGGTCTGTTTGTTATATGAACTGTCACTCTCTTGTCTCAGGATGACATTCAAATGGTACACTTGGTAGTGTAGGCAATTGAGAATGAGATGATCCAAGGAAACACGGATGGAATAATCTATACCCAGTTGATTTAGAGGCCTGCACTAAATTGCACTAAAAAAAACGGAAGGTGAGTAAACTCTGTGTGGCAAAGATCTGCATGAATGCAATTCTTATTGGGAAATGTATCTATTTCCCATCTACCCACATTTCCATTCCTTGTTACCAGCCACTTCCACGGCAGATACTCTCTCTGACCCTAACTACCCAGAGTTAGGTCAGATCCCATCCGTGGCCACTTGCGGCCAGGTTACCGGGGAACAGCCACTGGCTCAGGAGTCTGCACAACAAGCTGGCCTCCCTTTCTTTCTCTCTAGTCCCCTGGAAAGGAGCCCTGGTGGCACAGCGGTTAAAGCAATCGACTGCTAACCAAAAGCTTGGTAGTTTGAAACCACCAGCGGCTCCATGGGAAAAAGATGTGGCAGTCTGCTTCCATGGAGATTTACAGCCTCGGAAACCCTTGGGGTCGCTGTGAGTCAGAATCGATTCAATGGCAGTGGGGAGTCCCCTGGGGCTAGGTCACAAGCTAGGACTCCATCCTTCATCAACTGCCCATGCAGCCTTTCTCTATCACCCAGTCACTCAGAGGGACTACACAAATCAACTCTGTCCTGCCAGCCCACTGTCCCTGTGGGTTCATTAATTCTCTATAAAAGCTCGCAAAATTCCTGTAGACTATTACCTATATTTAGTTACCTCTTTATTGTAACCAGAAAGGAAACAAGAGGAAAGGTCGGGAAAAGCTCCCAGCAACACAAAGCTTCCACTGCCCCGAGTGACATGCTGCATGCTATCCCCTGCATGCACATTCTCACCAATCCACGAAGCTCCAAAAAGAGAGTTCCCAGGTTCAGGGTCCAATAGTCTTGGAGACCTCAATGAATATGCATGATTAGGGCATTAAAGCACAGTTACTCTTGATCCAATCAATGATTATGCGTGACTGCATCATACCCCCTCCTTGCTGAACTTAGTTAGCCAGGTGTGGGGCCAGTGTAGCCCCTACTTGCCTCACTATTTCACAAAGACATAGAACACCTTAATTGCTCAAACTACTTTCAGAAACCAGAGATAAAAAGCCGAACTTAGTTCTTTGTCCCACAAGGATACTCCATAAGTAAGAGAGCTGACCAGTACAGGATGCAAATGCTTAAGACTCATCAGTTTATCGCATTCTAAATTAGTTCATGTGGGACATCAATGCTTTTGGGAAAAAAAGTGTATTTAGATTTATGCCCAACTTCACAATAAAAATAACTTTCTGAATCCTAATCCAAAGGGGGAAAATACAGATTAGAACTTCAAATTCTCATGGAATCCAGACTTTATGAAACCATGGAGGCTGGACAGACTCCTGAAACTACTATCCTGAGATAATCTTTAAATGTTAAACCAAAAATATTCCCTGAAGTCTCCTTAAAACCAGTTGTTTAGCTTAACTAGTAAAGAATGACTGTCTTGAGTACTTTGCTCTTTTCAGATCTATCTATATGGGATCAAAGGAGCCCGGTGACACAATTGTTAAATGCTAGGTTGCTAACTGAAAAGCCGATGGTTTGAACATACCAGCTGCTCTGCAGAAGAAAGATGTGACAGTCTGCTTACATAAAGATTTACAACCTTGGAAACCCTACGGGGGGCAGTTCTACTCTGTCGTATAGGGTCGCTATGAGTCAGAATTGACTTGACGCAATGGGTCTGGTTTGGTGGTTTGATATGGGATCAAACTGAGAACAGCAACTTGAAAGATTAGATAGGAAACTTAGGGGGCAACGAGTTTATGTTAACGGGAGGAACAACTCAGAAAACGAGGGTGAAAATGACTGTACAACTCGAAGAATGTAATCACTGTCACTGAACTGTACATGTAGAAACTGCTGAATTGGTGTTGTTCTGCTATGTCAATTCTCAACAACAGAAAAAATAATAAATTATTAAAAAAGCCAAAAAAACTTTCTGAATCCCTAGGTTACCTTATGTTGATCCCCTGAAAAAGTGCCATTAAGTTTGCCTGGTCTATTCCCATAGAACTCTATGAGGAAATCTCCTTAACCACCTATAAGAAACCTGCTTCTGTACTTATGAGAAGGACACCACCTGCCACATTACTACTATGAAGAACCATCAGAGAAATTTCTGCAGGCCTAACTGCTATGAAATAGTAACATCCTCCAATGAACTTGTCTGCTTTCTCCTCACAGACCATGCATATCACGTAGCTTATCATGTTTCTTTTGTGATGGCTGCTGGAGATATCAGATGAAAGTTGAAAGCTAATGTCACCCACAGGGTCTGTGCAGTCACATATTATGTTCTAATATACATCACATAGTATGCACATGATGAACAATATATTCCTGATCCTACATTGCCCTGATTGTGAAGTTAGAATCTAAGTTTATTTTGCCCCAGATCCTGCTACTCCCAATTTATAATCTTCTGTTTAACTGTACCGATTTCTACAGGAGTCTACAAATCCACTGGGGAATGAAGGAAAGAAAAGAACAAACCAAAGTCACCTGGGCTTGGATCATTTTCTTCTAAATTTGGGAAATGGTCGCTAACTGGTATGCTCTGTATTTTTCTCTCCTGGATTAGATCTGAATGTCTCTTCAAAAATCTCAGTCTTTGGTCATAAGTATTCACAGAACTGACGACGCCAAAGTCTTGGAATTTCTTTCTCCTTCCTTCACTTCATTCTTTCTCCTGGGGAGCCAGGACCTGCAGGCTGAAGAAAAAGTGACTCTGAGCATGCATTCCCTCTGGGCCTAGATTTTCCCACTGCTGCTGTGCACTCACTTTAAATGAAGGCTCCAAATTATCTATCTGCCCCATTATTTAGTGCTTCAGAGGCTTTTACATCTGGGACAATCAAACACAGGTGTCTTCATGTTTGGGAAGTATGCCTTTGTTCTGTAAAGACGAAGTAGTGTGACTGAGAAAGGGAATGTGGGAAGGAGAATAAGCACAGCATGACGCCTCAGCAGTAGAGGACATATAGACAGGCAGAATCTATGCATTTTTCCTTTAAACCATGTGTTCCCATTTACCTCTTCAAAAGTCTGTTTACATCCCCATGATGCACTGCAATGCAAAGAACAACACGCTATGCAAAGTGTAAGCACTGTTGTGAAATGGTAGTTATAGTAGCATCAGGCCTGTCTAACTTCCGGGGAGATGATGAACAGGATCAGCCTGAAGTTGATTCCCATGAGGTGGAGGTCAGACATAACTCTACTCTCCAATCGTTTTACCAATTCTGACACCAGCTGTCCCTTCCACAGCACTCTGTACTTCCCTGCTGGGTTTGATAATTTGTTGCAGTGGCCACACAGAACTCACACACCATACTCACAATATGGGGTTTATTAGGGAAGTACCAGGTACAACTCGGGATCAGGAGAAACAAACTAGTTAGGGTTCAGGATCAGGAAGCATGTAGGTAAAGGCTCTTCTTCAGTGCAGCACAGCTCTCACAGCTCCTCTTGGCTGTGCAAACAAGCAGGACCTTCTCTCTGCCACGCACGCCCCTTTCAGGGCCCCTGATGACAGGTCTCCTCTTGACCCCCTGAGGACAGGCTCCTCTTGGACTCTTGTAGTGGTCCTTCTGGGCCTGTGGCCACCGGCTCCGCCCCTGGGCCCCTTCTGGGCCTGTCAACACTGGCTCTGCTGCTGGGCCCTTTCCAGGCCTCTTTCTGTCTTCAGTGTTACAGCCCTCGACCCGTGTTACAGCTGTTTTAGGAGGTTCCTTGCGTCCTCTCTCTCTCTCTCTGCTCATAACCATTTAGTGGCAGACAGGCTGATGGCAGAGAGGCTGACAGTGGGGAGCCCAATGGCGAGATGCCTGCACACCCAGAAGATAAGCTAAGTCGAGGCATCTGCCTGGCAGAAATGGCAGCCACCTAGCTGAGAAGGTCTCTGCCTAGCAGAGAAGCCACGCCAGCTGATCACTGGAGGCCTGTGTGCTTCCTGACATGGATTCTGAGTTGTTCCTGTTACTTCCCAGTTGATTCTGATCCTGAGTTGAAGCCTGTCACTTCCCTAATAAACTGCATAATTGTGAGTACAGTCTGTGAGTTCAGTGTGACCACGGCAACTGACCACAGCAGAGGAGTAGAGAGTGCCGTGGGAAGAGCAATTGGTGTCAGAATTAATGGAGAAATGGGAAGGCAGAGATATATTTGACTTCTACCACATAGGAACCAACTTTGTGCTGATCCTGATTCATATTCCTCATGAATTTAGACTATTCATTATTCTGCATAGTAACAGCCAACACAAGAAAAGATCTCAATCTCACCGGTAATGAAAAAAATACAGTAAAATTTGCAAAAGCTGGAACCTGTGTAAGGTGAAAACACGTCACCGCGAGAAGCGGTGGCCGGAGAGATGGTGCAGTGGGCTTCCTGACCCATGAAGTGAGAAAGTTGAGTGCCTTTGGGCAGAGGCAGAGGGCCAAGAGGCATGCCTATAAGCATAGCTGGGAAGAGGCCGTCATGATGGAAGAACTGTATCCTGAGTATTCCTGAGTCTGAACTGTAAACTGTTACTTCCCTAATAAACCCCCCATAACCATGAGTATTGTCTCTGAGTTCTGTGTGGCCATTGCAATGAATTATCTAACCCAGCAGAAAAGGAGAGAGTGCTGTGGGAGGGATGGTTGCTGTAAGAGATGGTAAAGATAGTGAAGACAGGAGGCATGTCTGACCTCTGCCTCATAGGAAACAGCCTTGAGCTGTTGCTCTTGATTCTCCTCCACCGTATGAAGTTAGAGGAGGTCAGATACTGGCCCCACACCATTTTTACAGTTACCATTATCTTCACCCCCATTTTACAGATGAGAAAAATCAGGTGTGCGCAAGATCTCAGAGCTACTCCCTACTTACAAATGTATACTAAAACACCAGTTCATTTAGAGTCCTTTGACAGCCATGCCATGCTTCCATTTTCCAAAAATGTTTAATTCCTGGATAAACCCAGAACACCACAAGGCTAAGTCCACAGGCTAACTTGTGTTGGCCTGCATCCACTGAGTTTGCTTTGTCTATTACTACATGGGTCTATGAAAAATCCTGGAAAAAAAGCCATAGGAAACCTTCTTCTTCATTTACGAGAATGCCTGTTCTGGACACAATCCACCACATTACCTCTAGAAAGAACCATCAAAGAAACTTACTGTAAGAATAGTGTGGGGGTGGCATCTGACATCTTCTAACTTCACAAGGGGGAAGGAGAATCAAGATCAATAGCCCAAGACTGATTCCTATGAGGCGGAGGTCAGACATGCTTCCTCTCTCCGCCATCTTTACCAATTCTGACACCAACCATCCCTCCCAAGGCACTCTCTCCTTTTGTGCTGGGTTAGATAATTCATTGCAATGGCCACACAGGACTCACAGACAATACCCACAATTGTAAGGTTTATTAGGGAAGTAACAGGTTACAATTCAGGTTCGGGAACAATAGGCTCAGGATACAGTTATTTCACCAGGATAGCCTGTTCTCAGTTGTGCCCAAAGGCATGCTTCTTTCTGGCTCCTTGGCCTCTGCCCTGCTCAGGCATGTGTTACAAAGCTCTTTTAGCTCTGCTGATGAACTCGGAGCACAAGGCACTCCACTCCGCCAGTAAGCGTAGGCCTGAAGGTGCTCAGCTCTAGCTGCATGGCTCGGTAATCTTCGCTCCACCAAGTGCCCAGAGGCATCCTACTCTGCCAACCAGCCTCCTGCCCGAAGCCACTCAGCTTTCTCACTCTGTGGGCCAGGAAACCCGCTGCACCATCCCCTGCCGGTCTCTCCTGCCATTGTTTCTCTGAAACCACTTCTCGTCAACTTCAGTATTATAGCGCTCTCTCTCTCTCTCTCTCTCTCTGTCTGTCTCCTGGTTCCAGAAGCTTCTCAGTGCAAAGATCTTCAGAAGATTCTTCAATACCAAGGAAGATGCTTGTCTCCTCAGAGTACTGGTTTGATAGGGACGGGCAATTTTAACATTAGCTATCTAAAATGGGGGAAGATAAAGGCAGGAAGTGGCTGGCTTACATGCTTTTGTGGGAGGGCTTACACTCAGAATAAGGGGGACAAGGGAGGATCCCCAATGAATTCCTCTTTTCCTGATGGGTCAGGGGAAGAAAGGGCTGGGGAGATGCTGACAGGATTATGATTCAGCTATGAGTGTTGACTCTTAACAGGATTAATCATGATTGTAAAAACTGTCACTGTAGAAGCTGTAACTGTGAAAGAATGGACTAAGGGAGAGGCACTGCTGGACTGGAGTACAGTGGCCAAACCTAAAGTCCCTAAAAGGCTTTGCTATGCTGATACCGCATGAGGCTCAGAGCAAGGGAATAATCTTCTCTCAGTTAATTTTTATTAGACACCAGGAAGGGTGAAGACAAGATTAACTATTGGAGAACCTGACCAGATCAGATGGACACCTGCAGGAGACCTGAATGGCTGGTATCTGAGTAACCTCACCCTTAGGACTCTTTCACCCTACTGAAGGACTAATTGTTAATGACTGTTTGGGACTGGTAAAATGATTGGGAGGGGGAGGTTGGTCCTTCAGGTACGAAAGGGTCAAATGGCTAGAAGAACCAGGGGTGGTCTGGGTTGCAATGAATTACATAACATGACCCTTCTAGCCATAGTCTTTGTGACTCACATACAGTGACTGTGGGACTATGCAAATAAGTGGTATGGAACCTATGATGGTTAGGGTTCTGTGTCAATTTGGCTAGGTCATGATTCCCAGTACTGTGTGGCTGTCCTCCATTTTGTGATCTAACGTAATTATCCTAATTATTCTCCATTTTATGTGTTGAAAATCCTAACCTCTATATGTTAATGAGGCAGGATTAGTGTGGGGTGTATCTTGAATCACAGCCTTACAGGAGGATGTGACTCAAGTCCTACCCTTATTAAAGTCACATTCTTCCCTGGGGTGTGGCCTGAATCCAATGTATATATGTGAGTGCTCTGGTGGTGAGCTCTCTCTCGCTTTCTCTCTCTCTCTGCATCTGGATCCTGCATCCAGCATGTCACTGTCTGACCTTCAGTTCTTCTGACTTAACCCAGCAGCCTGCTGTCTGACCTGCCAATTCTGGGATTCACCAGCTTTCGCAGCCCCATGGACCAGCACCCTGTCATCTGACATGATATGCCAGCTTCCACAGCCTTGTGAGTCAGCAGCCTGTCATCTGGCCTGCCAGTGTGGGTTCATCTGCCCCTGCGGCCACATAAGAGAAGTCTACACTTGACCCACGGATCTGGAACTTGTCAGCCTCCACACTGTGTGAGCCATTTCCTTGACACAGTTCATAAGCTCTGTCAGACGCTGCAGCAAATTATGGAACCTAAAGACAGGAGAGAGCGTACTGAGGAGAGGAGGAGTAGTTGATGTTAGAGATGATGGAGTGATACAGCAATTAGGAGAAGCTGGACATCTGGGACACCTTTAACCTCCGCCTCATAGGAACCAGCTTTGTGCTGTACTCATAAAATAAATTATTTATTCAGTATCCATCCCCCCATGATGAGTGCATATTTGAACCACAGGACATGTACCAATATTTTCATAGCAGCTTTATCGGTAGTAGCCCGAACTTCAAACAACTCAAATATACATTAATAGTAGGAAAAACTACTATATATTCAAACTATGGAATGCTATACAGCAACTCGAAGTTTTGGCCGGCCTTCAAGCTAAAAATACCTTTTACATTTATTTGTTAA